TTTCAATTTTTTTTTTTTTTATTGAACAGTATCAATTTACACACTCAAATGGGGAACAATAAAATGCATATGACAAAATATACACTTTACCAATCACATCTCCATCATACATAAATGTCCATGTGTGTATATATATACTGTATATATATTGTGGCGAGTATCCCGGTTCCAGATCAGCGTCGCCCTGGAAACGCCGCTCCTACACAAATCACAAACTACCGCCACCTGTGCGGGATGACTGGCGCACCTGGAGCTCGTTCCCACAGGCCTTAAAGCCAGGAGAGAAGGCGCAAGGTGGAAGAGGAGGAAGAGGAGCTCCAGGCGGAAACTAATGTCTGTTTGTTTCTTCTCCTCTTGTGCAGAGACTCTTGACGACTATGCACAGACACTTCACCTGCTCACGTATAGCACCGTTTGTGAATAAAGCACCCTCCTGGGGTACTTTTTGCCAGTTCTGTGTCTGTGTTCTCATTCACCCCGCGACATATGGTGGAGAATGCAGGGATAAAAGACCGGTAGTAGCCCGCCAACCCCAGAAATGCACGTACCTGTGTCTTGTTACTGGGCCGAGGGAACTTTTTTTACCGCCTCAACTTTTTTTTCTTGGGGCATGATGAGCCCTCGGCCAATCTTGTATCCAAGGTACTTGGCTTCCGTAAGGCCGAGGTGACACTTCCTGGGGTTGGCTGTGAGGCCAGCCCACCGAAGTTCCATCAACACCCTCCACAGACGCTCCTAATTTTTATAATGCATTATGCATTAATTATAATGCCTTAAGAATACCCTTATAATGTATTATAAATACGGGCTTCATAGAAAGTGTTACCAAATTTTCCTATGGGGTTTCATAATGGGGTTCCCTTTCGAGTCAGTCTCTCAACATTGCGTGACAGCTTTCGCATTTTGGGGAACTCGCTTTCTGCCATCAGAGTGGTTTGTGATTGTAGCTCCGTGTAGCTTCACTTTTCTGTTGACTCTCTATCTTACTATCACTCTCTGTTGTTTAAAGTGATAAAATATAACTTAATTCCCACCTTATTTCTGATATTATATATCAAACTAATCTGATTAATTTGATAGTTTGCTTTTATTCTAAAATCGCGAGTGCAGTGCGTTAGCATTCGTTAGCCGGTTAGCTTGTCATTCGCGTTTCCATTCGCATCTATTGCTGTTTTCTTTTTTTTCTCTTGCTCCGTTTCTTTTCTCTCTCGCTCCGTTTTTTCACGAGTTCATCAAACAACAGTGGTAAGTCAGAATCATTCATCAATCACAGTGAGTAATGGCTTCTTCTCCTGTTATTGTCACTTGCACCGCTTGCCACATGTATAGTTTAGCTCTCTCTGTCAGCAGCGAGGGATTCACATGTGATAAATGCAGGGAAATAGTTAGGCTGACAGAGAAGATTTCAGAACTAGAGACATGCATCCAAACTTTAATTGAGGATAGTAAGAATGTGAGGGTTCTAGATACGGCTTTGGATGTGACTAGCTTAGGGAGCCCTGTACATTGTTCGGATCCAGTTACAGAGCCTCTGCAGCAGGGCGACTGGGTGACTGTGATGGTGCATAGTCGTGGGTCAAAACACTGCTCTTCCGTTCCGTTCAAAACATCAAACAGGTTCTCCTCAATCAGTGATGCACCCGCTGAGAAACCTGATCAAAGTGCTCTAGTTATTGGCGATTCTATTGTACGAAACATGAAAATAGAGACACCAGCCACCATAGTCCAATGTTTACCGGGAGCCAGAGCGCCTGACATCTTGGCAAATGTAAAAGTGCTGGCTAATGCTAAATGTAAATTCAGTAATATTGTTATTCATGCCGGTGCTAATGATGTTCGATTTCGCCAGTCGGAGATCACTAAAAATAACTTTAAAGAGCTGTGTGAACTTGCAAGTACGGTGTCAGACACTGTAATATGCTCTGGTCCCCTCCCTGCTTACCGTGGTGACGAGATACACAGCAGACTGTCGTCACTCAATGGCTGGATGTCTAAGTGGTTCCCGCAGAATAACATAGGTTTCATAGATAATTGGATGAGTTTTTGGGGCAGACCTGACCTGTTGAAAAGAGATGGTCTTCATCCCTCCTGGGGTGGTGCCGCTCTTCTCTCTAGAAATATGGCACATAGTCTTAGAGTTTGTACTTGACTAACTGGGGCCCAGGTCAGGAAGCAGACAAACTGGCTAAACCGACCGTCTGCTAGCCGCCTCACGTCAAAGAAATCAGTTAATTATCAGCACATAGA